GCTCTGGGCATGCTTTTGCTTTCCCTCAGCTACCTGAAAGTAGCTGTAATTGCTTTTCAGTAGGTGCCTGAGTTTGAGATCACCAAGGCTAAAGGGCGAGATCACCAAGGCTAAAAGGCAAGATCACTCAAACCAAGTCGGAGGAGAGGAAATGTGCCTCAATAGTGCTTTTTATTTCTAGACAGTGTTATTTTGTGATTCACTAAAATTTCTGTTTGCTCCTGATGTTTGCAGAGTGAGTCAAATATGAACACTTATGAAGGGTATGCTAATCTCAAACTATATCATTAAACAAAAATCACTAATCCAGATGTACCTGGTGTCCTCCTTGTCTTCCTTTTTCACCCCTCTGAGGAGAAGCCAAGATTTCTTCTGTTGCAATCTCCTTCAGGAGTGACACCTGACATTTCACTCAGAAACTAGTGACTCTGGACAAAGGACTTTTATAATCCTAGGCAGCCAGTTCTGCATTTGAAGTGCTGAGAGAAGTACTTTTTGGTTTATATATCTGTGATATTTTATATTCCTCATTATCAAGATATCCGACTGTCTCACAGTGTCCCCTGCATTGCTGCAAGCCCTCTCACACATCACTCAGGATCTATGAGGAAAGTGGGGTAATAAGACCATGTTAGCTCAGAAACAAGCTTTTGTGAGACACTGCAGACCATGCTCAGAGACAGGGGAGAGGAAAAAAATGGAGGAGAAGAAACTGGCAGGTTGTACAGCTCTTGTGGAAACTTGAGGATGCCAGGCTGCTTCTGTGTTGCATTTGCTATACCTGGATTTTTTCAAGGGACAAAACTGTCTGCCTAAAGAGACCTAAATAATATTGTATATTATTAAAAACATAATATAACCTGTGCCATTTCTCACTGGAATCAATCTTTTGGAGAAATGCAACTCTGTCTTACCCAGATCTCACCCCTAACAGCAAAAAAGTATATTATTTGGATCAAAATTCTTCTTTCTTTACATTTATGGTCACATTATTTTAAGAGGTTTTTGTGTTTTTAAAGAGTACGTTAAACCTAAAACTGGAGACACTGTGATAGAACCCACCCCAGAGCACATCTGAAGGGTTTGAGTTTAATAAGTACCTCTTCCATTTTCCATCAATTGATTGAACTTAGCTCCTGTTTCTTTGAACCTCTTGTTCTCACTGAAAGCCGTGCTGACATGCTTTAAAAGCATACAAATAACTGCTACTGTGACTAGCTACACAATATATTCTGCTCTGTAATACGCATTTCAGTTCATGAATGCCTGAGGAAAAAGTGGTAATGAAGAGCTAAATCTCTGGTACTACTACTTGTTTTTCCATTTGTTTCTTCATGATGCACAGATCTTATTCTTTGGCACTTCACCAAAAGCATCTGAGGCTGGAGTTAGGTATAACTAAAATTGAAGTGTAGAGCATCTCTAAGGAGATGCTCAGAATTGGGCTGTGGCCAACCTCATACATTAAGTGGTTTTAACTTTGTTATTTTATTAAGGAAATGGAGTTCAGATTTATCACTTACTTCACATCAATAGCATGAGACCAGCTGTTCTGTCCCAACTCCTCATTACAATGGGAGACACTCAAGTGTGTCACCGCAGGAGTTTATTGTCTAACCAAGATAAAACCAGCAGGTTTTCTGAAAAGTTCTCCAGTTTAAAGGGAAGGTTATGATTCATGTTTCAACTGAGGCAGCAGAGAAGGACGACTGAGAAGCATTGACAAAGATGCTGGGATGCAAAAATGGAAGAGCACACATTACACATGGAATGGATGTTGGGCAGAAGTTATTTCTATCGGCAGCACTTCCTCTTGAAGAGATCAGAGGGCAAGAAACCGAGGTGGAGGCATTGATGTAATATGGGCTGGAGCCTGAAGGCATGCTGGTCATGAGAGAATACTTCGTAAAAAGCTCCACGTGGATTAGGACAGGTTGGAGGGGAGGGCCTTAGCTGAGGAGGGCAAACAGGGAAAGCACGTTGAAAGGCCATGGAGTTCAAGAGGTGGGGAAGATTAGCTAGTGGAGTCGAGAAGGGGAGAAAAGAGCAGTTGTTGCCTCCACGCAAACAGTGGGAAAGCAATGGAGAGGAGCGCGGGCCGGAGCGCTGGAGCGGGTGCCGGCAGCGCGGAGCCGGGGCCGGGGCGAGCAGGCGGCGCTGCCGGCGGTGGCCGGGCAGAAGGAGCGGAGCGCCCCCCGGGCGACGCTCCCTGCCTCGGCAGATGCTCCCAGGCGGCCCTGGCGGCTGTCTCGGCCTTCCCTGACACCCCCTCTCTTTCCGCCCCCTCTCCCGCCGGCGGGGTCTTGGACAGCTCCGGTGCCAGCGCTGCCGCGGGTCCCTCCCGGCACCGGCACCTGCTCTGCCTCTTCCCCGCGGGCTCGGCTGAGCCCCTGCCCGCTTTGCAGGGCGGGCGCTGCCCCGGCCCGGGCAGACCCCGGGAGCGGAGCAAAGTCGGGACCCACGCAAAACACGCGCCCCGCGGAGCCTCCTGCGCCGACCCTCCACAGCCGCCCCGTGCGGGCGGGCTCGGGGGCGGCGGAGGCCGGGGGGCCGGAAAACACCGGGGACGGAGAAGGAGATTGCCCGGGATAGCAGCCCCAACCCCGCTCGGGTCGGATCCCTCCCCGCGGGCCGGCCCGTGAGTGGAAAGTTTCCCCGGAGTGACCTCTCATAGTACGCGCCCGCTAGGAAATCTCATTCAAGTATTTTTGTCAATGGGGTGGGGGGTGGGGGGGGGGGGCATCCTGCTCCCCGGCCCCCAGCCCGGCTGACGTCACTGCAGAGGCGATAAATATCTGTTGATATAATTGGACGTGAGATTTGGGGTTGCGATAGCGAAACTCGGCCCATCGCCGCTCCGACGGGCCCCCATGATTTATTCAGCAGTAGATCGGGGCACGCAATCGGGCTGTCAGGAGAGCGTCAGCTTATTAGGCAAGTTCTGCGTGATTTCAGGAGAGGGTCTAAGCTATAAAAATCCCGCGCCCCGGCTCTGATTAGTACCAAATCTGATCCCAAGTTCGCCAGAAGCCGTCTCCGAGGGAGAGCGAGAGGAAGGGACGCCGGGCACCGCCGAGTCCCGCCGCCGCCCGCCCTGCCCTACCGCCGCCACTGCCGCCCCAGGTAGGTGCGGGGCCGCACCCGGGCGCGCAGCGGATGCGCTGCCCTGCCCTGAGCGGGGCTGAGCGCCGCGTCCCGCGGGATACGGGGAACTCTTCTGGCCGGGCAGGGAGCGGGGACGTGGGGAATGGGCGCTGGAACCCCACAGCTCGTGGGGAGAGCCGCCCCGCCACAGGCACCCCACGTTCCCCTTCTCCCCGCGTGGGTGAAGAGGCTCGGGTCGCGAACACGGGTGGATTCTCCGCAGGGGTTCAGCCCAGCCTGGTCCCCGGGAGCCGCTGCCGGCGCAGTCCGGAGCCGCCCCGCGGGGTTGTTCTGCGGGGAGCGGCCGCCTCGACGGCGCGGCCGGGCTGGGCGAGTGCGGCCGGGGGCGGTGTGTGGAGCGCGGAGGGGCGCGGAGCGGCGCGGAGGGGCGCGTTTCAGCACCGGGACAGCGGCGGCGGGGACCCCCCGCTCCCCGGCCGCCCGCTGCCCTCCCAGCCGCCGCGGCTCGGCTTTCTAACCCAACCCCCGTCCCCCGTCTGCCCCCGCAGGTTTGGGCCCCGATCATGAAGATCCCGCTGCTGGTCTCCACGGGAATCCTGCTGGTCACCCTCCTGCCCTGCCAGGAGTGCAGAGCTCTCAGCAAGAGCCCGGCACCCGCCCCCGGGGCTCTGCACCAGCCAGATTTCTTTCAGCAGCAGCAGCAACAGCAGCAGCAGCAGCAGCAGCAGCAGCAAACTCTGCCCGTCCTGCTCCGCATGGGAGAAGAGTATTTCCTGCGCCTGGGCAACCTTCACAAGAGACCCGTTGGCTCTTTCTCCGCCTCCTCCAGCAGCACCAGCCACCTACAGCCCGAAGCCTCCGCCAGCAACTTTTTCCGGGCGGCGTTTCAACAGCTGCAGCAGCTGCCCGAGCGCTCGCCGGGGAACCGAGAGGACGGCGAAGCCGAGGGTGAGGCCGTGGAGAGGGAGAAGCGATCCGAGGAGCCCCCTATTTCTCTGGATCTGACTTTCCACCTCCTGAGAGAAGTCTTGGAGATGGCCCGAGCCGAGCAGTTAGCGCAGCAAGCTCACAGCAACAGGAAACTGATGGAGATAATCGGGAAGTGAAACGGCCCCTCCCCGCCTTGCCAAAGAGATTCCGCAGTTAGCACAAGAATAATTACACCGTCCGATGTACCATAGTGCTGCTCTGATGTCATCTCTTTATTTTTATATAGCTTTAAACCTAGAAGGGTGTACTCCGAACAGCCTCCGTCCCTTGACTAGCATGCACAACCGTGTACCAAGTGCAGAAACACGAGTGTCGTTCGTAACCTCCCCTACCTTTATTTATTTCTCCATTTCCCAGTTATTCTAGTGCCATCGCTACGTAGGGATGTGTGAGCATTGGAAGAAATGGTGCCAAGAAGACAGAAAACTTTTCTGCTGGGGGCAGGGAGGTGGGAGGGGGAATCTCTGTAAGCTACTTTCAATCCACTTTTTTTTCCTGTAAACATTTTCACAATAAAACATCTTTTCAGCGCTCGGTCGATTTGGTTGTGTAAGAGAATGTTTAATATTTATATTTTTAATAAAAGCTGCAAAGTAAAGATGACTTGATAGACTTTCTTGCCTAGAGGCCTGAGGGTTGCTCCACCTCCCTCAGCGCTTACCGGGGCGGGGGTGCACCCCCTGCCGTGGACACCCGGAGCCCGGGGGAGCCCTGCATCTCTCCCGGGGATGTTTCCTGCCCGCCCCGGGAGCCCCGTCTCCGCGGGCTCTCCCACAGGCGCGCCCCGACGACGCCGGCCCCGGACGGGGGCTGCCCCGCCGCCGCCCTCGGAGCAAGCTGCTCTCGGGAACGGGGTGTCGAGGCCAAATCGGTGCCCCCCAGAGCTGCCGAATCCCACCTCTGCAGCCCCCCGAGGGGGCTCCCTGGCTCCTGCCGCTGTGGCCGGGATCGGGCAGCCTCTTCCCGCCGGGGAGCAGCGAAGGGAAAGCGCTGAGGCGCTCCCGCATCTCTTTTGCGTTTTTGCATCCTCCCCGCACCCCAAAAGGGCAGGTTCCTCCCTGCTTCGGCTTTCCCCGTCCCGACGGCGGTGCCCAACCGGTGTCCCTCCCAGCGGCTTCTAGGGAGGCGGTCGTGGGTGTGGAGAAACTTCCCACGAGGAACTGGGGGAAATTTCCAGGACGACTAGGAGAAAATAGTAAATCCTTCACCCCGAACCAAATCCCAGGGAAAAGCTGCTCCAGCAGCCGGAGGCGATGCGGTGGCGGTGCTGGGCGGCGCTCGTTCTGGGTTGCGCGAGCTCCAAAGCTTTGCGCGGAGCTCGCCTGCGCAGCCCTCCAAAACTCGCAGGAGAGTTTTCCAGGGAACGTTCTCCACGGAAAACAGATACCAGCGAGGTTTGATGTCACTCGGGCCGGTAGCGACAGGTGTCCAGGACAGGGGCTCACCCCCCACAGCCTGCTTAACCAGTCTGCACTGCCAGCTCACCAGTCCTCCTGGGGCACAGCGCAGCCTTATGGCCCCACAAGGCCCCTGCCAAAAGAGTGCACTGCGGGCCTGGCTCAGGGATTTGGGAAAGATCCACCCATAACCCTATTGCAGAGCTTGACACCTGGTCCCCTATGGCACCAAGTGCTCCCGGCAGCCTGACAATCTCTCAAACGCTACTGAGTGTTGACACCCTACTCCCAGTGACAAAAATCAGAGTGTTGCCTTCAGAACAACTTGTAGAGCCTCTTTTAAGACATAAATTTGATTTCATTTGGTGGCTCAACATCTGCAAGGCACACAGAACAGGACAGTCAGCATCTGCCTTTTCTACAGCACAGCACAGGGGCTTCGAATTAAACCTTGAGTGAGCACCTGTGACTACCTAATTTCACTCTGGTTTCGTGTAAGAACACGTCCCCTTTTGTACACACACTGATGTCTGAGAAGACACAGACACAGGTTATGGCTGGACAGACTGGGCAGCACTTCAGCAACTGCCCCATACACTCATAGCTGTGTGGGGGTCTTGGCCAGTGCTTTTGATATGTGCATCTTCTTCTCTCCTGCCACTGGGAATCTTCCTTACAAATAATGTGTTTCTGTGAGCGTCATCTGTTATGGTTTAGTAGGAAGAGCAAGTGCAAAGGAAGAAATGGCAGCTTCTTTCTTCCCTGCCGTGTTCAGCCTCCGCAGCCTGGGAGGCACCAGTACTGTTAGACACAACCCTGACTTGGGGCTGCCAAGGACATGATAGTGTCACTGAAGTCACCAGCACTGACAAGTGGGGATGCAGGAGGATACTGAGAAGAAACACTGTTTTGGCAAAGGATGCTACTAGAGAATATCATACCAGCATTTTAGCTAAGAACATTGGTGAAGTGTTTACACCTACATGGGGATGTGCCATCAAGTGAGTTACAAAATACTAGCAGTGCTCAGCCTAAAGCTGTAGTGATGCTTCTTCCCTCTTGGAAGCAAGAAATTACTGGAAAACACTCTGACTACAATACATATCGTAACCTGTCCCCATGCTCCCCTCCCTCTCAGGTCTGTCAATTCAAGGGCATGACGTGGAGGTCAGCTGAGTTCGTAGGAATGAATCCTGCTCAGATGTCCCTTCCCAGGCCAGTTTCTTTGCTGACTGCAGCCAGGCTGCCTGTGCTCATGGTCCTTCTGAGGAGAAGCACACCAGAAGCCAGCCAGAGTGAGTCATCATTCATTCAGTGAGTTCAACCAGGAGAAGGAGAAGACATGACGAGCCGGCTCATCACCCCTCTCACTGCTCACGGGAGCTTCCTCCACTCGTCCTTGAGGGTATGGTTCAGAACCAGTCTGCAAAGGAAGGAAAGGTTGATAAATGGAAGAGGAAAACATGAATTGCATTAAAATCAGTAAGATTTCACAACATGCAGGGAAACAGAATGAAGTGGGAAAGAAGGGAAAAGGCAGGGAGCATGGAAACTTGGGAAGCTAAGACAAGACTTCTAACACCAAATAAATCAGAAAGACTTTTGCCATGACCAGTGTCTGAGGAAGGATTATGCTGGGTGAGCACGTCTCATCTGCTCTAAGGGCTTAGTCCTGATTTGGACCTCTGGAATATTATTGCACTGAAGGTGATAAATGCCTGTTCAGAAGTGATCCTGAGCCAGCTTGGCTTGTGTAGCTGGGCCTCCAGATTGATGTGAACCAGAGCCAAATGTTATTGCCAGTGCATTGCCACTCAAAATGATACTCGTTCTGCTGTTATGAAATCTGCTTTGGAAGTGTTTTATTTATTTATTTTTCTTTAAAGTCTTCTAATATTTATTTCACTTCAATTTAACTCAGATGAGGAACAGGAAAAAATAATACAGAAATATAAAGTTCAGTTTATATCCCTCTTTTTTTGCAAAGGTATCCTACACTTCCAGTAGAAAAAGTAATCTGGACATGTATACTGTAGCTGCTAATAAAAGAAATTTCTAAAATTAGTTGAATATTTAACAGAGCAGTTTAATAGGCAGAAATATTTTACTAGTTCCAGATCTCTTTGGCAAAGAATGAAGACTACTCTGTGATAGTATCAGAAATCCTAATAAAGATAAAAGATATAAAAATGGGTGGTTTGCTAGCTAAGGAAAGCCTCGTGTCTTCATCATTAAAACCACAATTTAACTTGCAATATACAGGATTTTTTTGCCTTTTGTATTTCTAGATGCACAAATTCGTTATTGTACATTCCTAAAGTTAAACCAGTCATGCTGACAGTCTTCTTTGTGCAGGGTTTTAGCTCACTTTGGAAGCCTCAGCATGATCTCAGGTGAACTATTTGATGCCAACATACTACTCAATAGAGGGCAAATGACAAAGTAATATCCTCTGAATTCCAACATCTTGATCATTTATAGAATTGTCCTAAAACAGAAAACTACTAAAGCAGTGTTGCTAATAGACACATCCAGCAACAAACACCGAAGCGGGGATGCTTGTGAGGAGCTGAAGCACGGGATGGATGATTTTCCTGGGCATTTTTGTGTGTACTTACTGTTAAAGTGTACCACAAGAATAAGTAAGAACTAGTGGTGTGTGAAGTATAAATTGGCTAATGGGCTTCATTCCAGTTACCAGCTGGTATCACCAACAAACAAGACAGCATGAAGGTATGAGAAGAAACAGACCCGTGTTTCTTTATTTATATCTAATTAGAGTTCACAGTGACATTTTTATCAACAAGATACTTGATTGCTTTAAATTGAATTTAAAGGAAATTTAAATGAAACAGCCCTATTAATTTCAATTAAACATTATCTGAAAAACTGCTTTACTATTTGAGATGTGGACCAATCTTTGACTTAGATTCATATTTTCAAAGCAAGGCACTCATTGCTACTTACTGCAAAACCCAAACAGGGATCTTGCAGATGAAAATAGCTTTTGCTTGCTAACTTTATAATGTGTTTTATTGAAGCCATGAGCATGGTGAAAACATGAGAAAACCAGCTGCCTACTTGAATAGAAAATCCCATTTCCAACAATGCTGATGAGAAGGGCTGTCTCGCAGGCTCATGGAAAAATATGGTACGGAATTGGGCCCAGAGGGCCAGATCTTCAGCTGAAAGGCAGGTAGCTAATTGAGGCCTGATAATAGAAGATCTGCCTCTCAGCCCTGGAAAGTGCTGATTGCAAATCTTTCAACCTGATTACAGTAAATACACAGCTAGACTTTCTGAGTTATAAGGCATTTGGCACTCTCTTGATCTTGGTAGATGCAGGAGCGTAGGTGGTTTATTAGTCTTTTGTGAAAATTTTTGCCTTTATTTTTGGAAGGGCAAGTCAGAGTGCCTGGACTAGCTAAGAGCAATTTTGAAACTGGTTGAATAATTTTGTGTGCCAAGCCCTCAGCAGTATGTGTAAGCAGGCATGGGGCAACCTTCCTCACTTCTTACTCTGTAAAGGAATGGGACTGGCAAGTGGTTTAAAACACAATTCCTGCTTTTTTTTTTTTTTTTTTCCCCTTTAACCCACCATCCCAAAATTTACATTAAATCAAGATTAACTTTGAAGCAAAGAACTATCTTTAAGTTTAAAGTTACATTGAGTGTTTCATAGGATTTGGTCCTATTATATAAGAAGAAAAAGCACAGTCCAATGACTTAGACTGGCAAGGGTAACTGCATTACCCTGTTAACCACTGCTGCTGGTACTGCATTTCAAGCAAAACAATCTTTGTCTGTATCACTGCCAAAACTGTATTTCATAATGTGTTAACTCCTTCATATTTTGCTGCGATGACACCTTCCTGTGTCAGCAAAACAATGTTGGAACTCCAACACATTCCCACTGGGTTTGGCTGGATGAAGCATTTGCTCCCTGCACCTTGCTGGACTCAGCAGGCTGCTAGTCTGCAATACCTCGATGCGCCTTTCCAAGACCAATCATTTTCCATCACACCCAGCCAGGAGTGAAGCAAGCACAAAACTGACAGTAGGGCCATTACCTGGCTTTTAGGCTTGTGTTTTCACACCTGTGACACTTCAATGCTTGTCTCTGAATCATACAGTGACTGAGGTATGCTCTCTTCGTGTAAAACAAGAAACCATCAAATGGTGCCAGCAGCAACTTTGTCCATGTTACTAAGCCCATTCTTCCCTTCCAACAGCAGCCCACACAACTCAGAGCTATATAGTGTGCTGAAATTGTCCAAGACAAGGATTTCAGCTGCAGATTTTACAGAAAAAGGCCTATTTTGAACCAGGCTGTGATTGTGAAAGATGGAATGCAGAAGCAGGTCACTGAGATTGAGGCATTTGACCACTCTGTAGGTCCTTGTAATCTCATGCTGGATTATTTTGCTCTCCCTGTTATTGCAACCCTACTCTGCTCCCAGAGGAAAGCTCAGTGCTGAGCATGGCACAGCCCTTGCCACATGCCTTTAAGACAGTCCAGATTCAACACTTCATTGTGTCTGTCCATTGCTATTAGATAACTTGTCAAACTTCTACCTGAGATTTATCTTTGCCTTGGAGATCTCATGGGTAGGACTTGTTTTTCACATTACCTAGAATAACAAGTCCCAACCCTTTGGATCCCTAAAAGTAATAAGGAATAACTAAAGAGTTTACCTCAGATTACATTAATCACATTAGGGCAATGTTGAGAGAGTGCTGAATACTTACACTTTGATTTATGTTTTCCCCTGTGGTGTCGAGTGACATCAGATGGTGCTTTCAACAAGCACCAGGAATTTTCAGCAGGCCAGCTCATGAAGTGGGGAGAGAACCATGCATGACTGATGGTTGGTTTTGTTTTTCCCATAAGCAAAGTCCAGGCTGGAGTTTACATGCCAATTCTATGGAGGTGCTGAGCAACCACAACTCCCACTGAGCAACCATTCAGCACTCCTCAGCATCTGGCACGCTAGAATTTGCATGAATAAACAGTATAAGGATCTCAGAGTTGAGCCTGATGAGTCGTTTCAAAGTTGCAAATATTCAGCATCTTTTACTATTTGCTTCCTTAAGCAGGGCTCTACTTAAATCTGTATAAGGTTCTTGTAAAAGGGTGTGGAGAAGAGGAAAGATGCCAGTGAGATGGTTTGTCATAACGTTTTCATCTATTAGGTCTAGCAGTTATCCTATTTATGCTGGGGAAAAATATGTAGACTAGGCTTTTTAGACATTTAAAATACAATGAAGTCTACACATTGTTTTCTGCTTTACCAGCACTACCTCTGTAGCCTTTAGGTACAAAGGCTGGGATCTGCACTGACATACTTTAGTCATCCAGAAACAAGATATCTACTCAAGCAAACTCTATCCATTCCCTGTAATGGGAGTGATTAGAGAAAGGCACAACCAGAAGGTGATTTGTCCCATCCTCAAAGAAGTAGATTGCCCTTTGGAGGTACCTGTTCCTTTCTACTGACTCTACAGACACTGGATGACTGGGTTAGACTAGATCTGCCTTTTAAGCAATTATACAAGCAAGATTCCAGCCAAGTATTTCAGAATATCAAAAACCTCCTTGATAGGAATTCTGAACTTTGACTGCAGTATTATTTTACAAGATCACATACTCTTAAATTTAGGAAGTGGGGAGGAAAGGCGAAGGGCTGAATGGCTTCATAATCTACTTTAACGCAGAAGGATGAGGTGGTTGGCTACAACCTATATGAAGGTCTTCTGGAGCAACAATGCTAACCAAAGCAGGTTTTGTCCCTTGGGTCCCCATTCACCTCTTCCTGCTTTTGTTCCATGGTTCACTGCCCATTTGCATTGCTGCAGCTCTTTGAAGGGCTGTGCTAAGAATGGGAATGTCACTGGAACAACATCAATTTTTGGTTGTTTTTTTTGAGGTGAAGGAAGCTATTTTTAAACCTGGATCATTTGAACAATTTGGTTTCAGCACAGCTCAACAAACAGCTGCCTCAGCACCCTGTAAGTGGTGGCATCTGGGCAGCAATAAGAGGCACGGCCATTTGGCAAAAAAACTCCTGAATCACCTTTGCTGCCAGAGGAAAAAATGGATCCACACCCTTAGAGGCACATTAACTACCCAGTGCTTTTGATGCCTACTCTTGATCCAGCAGGAGAGCAAGGGTGTGAATTTGTTAGAAAGTGTGGGTCTTGGAGAGAGAAACAGTGAAAATACAGGTTTCTTGCTTCCAGGGTTTCTGTAGTCTCAGAAAATGAGCTAGAAATTAAATTTAATTCCCATTTTTAGCTGGCTTGTTTAGAAACAACCCCCAGTGTTGACAAGAACAGGCATGATTAAAAAATGCTAGCTGGTTGCAAAGCAATCACAGAATCTGTAGGCTATGTTTGTCTGCCTCAAATGTCAAGTGTTACACT